AGAGAGAGAGAGAGAGAGAGAGAGAGAGAGAGAGAGAGAGAGAGAGAACACCCAAAAGAGACTAGGCTTTGAGACTGGCCTCAGTATTGTGTCTGAGGCTAGCTTTGGACCTCTAGCTTCCCCTGGGTCCCGAGAGTTGAGTGAGAGGAAGTACTCATCTGGGTGAGCACACAGGGTCCAGATGACTATATTCCTGACAAGGATAGTCATGGCCTGGGCAGAATGATCTTGAGCAGGGTAGCCATGGCCTGAGCAGGGTTGGCATATCCTAGGCAGAGTAGGTATGGCCTGGGCAGCGTGGGTATGGTCTGGGCAGGGTGGGTATGGCCTGGGCAGAATAGTCTTGAGAAGGGTAGGCATGGTCTATTTCAGGGTGGGCCTGGGCAGTGTGGGGATAACCTGGGCAGTGGGTCTGTTTGGGACAGTGGGTCTGTCTGGGCAGTGGGTCTGTCTGGAGCAGTGGGTCTGTCTGGAACAGTGGGTGGTAAATGGGCATTTATTCATTTCCTTGCTGTCCTCATGAACATATCTTCAGCACAGGCTTTGTCTGGGCACAGATAGTTCTAGATCTTTCAAACTCCCCCATGAGTGTGACAGCTGGTAAGAGCAGACAGGCATCTCTGTTCCAGCTCCAATCACACCTTTAAAGTCAAGACTCTTGTCCCCATAGTGTCCTGTGAGCAAGGACCTATAGTCTGTGCAGGTTAATGAGCTGTCTGCGTCCCATCACCCGAATTGACCTGACATTACCGCACATGTCCTTGGTACCTTTGCAAAGCACGAGCATCATCTCATTTTATTCTGGGGTGGCCTTTTCGGGACCTACCACTCTCTTCATTTCCCAGATGACTGTGTGGGGCACAGGAAGATGAGTTCAGCTGGCAAAGGCCACGTGCTGAGTAGACAGCGGGATGGGGACTTGTTGTTACTGTCACTGGAGTTTCCACGAAGAGTGTGCCTCATCCTCACCACCATTGAGATTTGTCAGCAGACAGCTTGAACTGGGCATTGTAAGACATTTAGCAACCTTCCAGATACCAGGGTGCGCCCCTCCTCAGCTGTGACAGAGCCCAGAATGTCCCCAGGCATTCGGCCCATCATTTTATTCTATATTTAATTAATTAATTTTGAGACAGGCTGGCCTCAAACTTGCTACACTGCTGAAGATGACCTAGAGCTTCCAATCCTCCTGCCTTCAGCTTTTACATTCTAAGATGGCAGACAGATGTTGTACTGCCATGCCCAGTTTATGCTTGGCTGGGGATCAAACCTGTCAGTTCATATCTGCTGGCTTCATACATGCTCGGCAAGTGCTCTTTAACGAGCCACATTCCCAGCCTTCAGTCCTCTCCCTCAGTCCTTCATTTTAACATACACACAAAAGCCTTGACTGATTTTTAAAATTATTTTCAATGACATGTGTGTGGGAGCAGGTGTGTGTGTGTGTGTGTGTGTGTGTGTGTCTGTGAATATGAATGTGAGAATGAGAATGGGAGTTAGAGATGGTTGTGAGTGACTTGATATGGGACCCAAGCTAGAGTCCTCTTGAAGAACAGTACATGGTTTTTGTTTGTTTGTCTGTTATTTGTTTTTTTGTTTTGTTTTTTGGTTAGGTTTGGTTTGGTTTTGTTGAGGCAGAGTTTCTCTGTGTAGCCCTGGTTGTCCTGGAGACTCACTTCATAGACCAGGTTGGCCTTGAACTCACAGAAATTCTCCTGCCTCCCAAGTGTTGGGATTAAAGGTGTGTACCACTGGTGCCTGGCTAAGTGTGGCAGCCCCCACCTTGCTGGAAGATAGAGGCTGAAAAGGATTGTTTTGCTTTGATACAGTTTCAGATTTCCAAAAGTTGCAAACAGTACAGAAACTGACTGTTTTCAAAACAATTTTTGGAGTTATTTTCCAGACTTAATTTCTTATCATACTTGAGTACCTCCCTGTGTATTTCATAATAACCAGGGTATTGCAATAAGATGGTCAGAATCAAAGAATTCAACCTGTTCTATCACCACCAGTCAGTGCTCAGACTAGGTTGGTTTCTCTCCTCTCCTCTCCTCTCCTCTCCTCTCCTCTCCTCTCCTCTCCTCTCCTCTCCTCTCCTCTCCTCTCCTCTCC